ATTTGGACAACTTTATATGCAAGAAACAAATCCAAGAAGGAGGCTCGAGTAAGAAACAAGAGATTAACACTATAGACAAGACATTGGAAAGAAGGGATATTTCTTTATGTAAAAAAACGAGATGTCGAATCTACTTTTAATAAAATGCTGTATGTAAGAAAATAAAGATAGGGAATCATCTCTCTTGTGTGTGTGTGTGTGGAGAGAGATGCACATGTGTGAGATGTCACACCTCTTGTTTCCCTATCTCGCGTTTGACATGCCTCTCTCTGCATTGCAAGATAACAAAGACTTTATCTTGCAAAAGCCCTGTAACAAAAAGGGCTGAGTAGCAAAGAGAGAGAGAGAAACCATAATCTCCCTTCTGCCTTCTTTCTGTGCCAGATGTTATTTCAAGTTTGTCGCTTATCTTCCAAACGATAAGATAATCACTTGTAGATTCAACTGGTTGGATCTGGCTGGATTCCAACGCTTAACCCGTTTGTGGGGGGAAAACACTCCCCACAAGGCACTTTGAACATTCTTTGTTTTTTTTACAAGATTTGTCTACTAGCCTTTTTACTCCAGCATTTGTCATGTCCAACTTTTGCCCTGCTTTCCAGTCCTCGAAACAAAAGAGGCGAGGGCGTCACAGGATATTCACAGATGAACAGCGCAAGGATCGCAACCGAACAGCGCAAGCAGCCTTTCGAGCAAAAAAGATGGAGGTGAGAGCATGGTCCACTGCTTTTGCCCAATTCTCGCCTCATGAATCTATCCTCTTAGTATTATGCTGGCCTTGAAAGCACTGTGGAGGACCTTCAGCGCACAGTCAGTCTTCTTCGCGAAGGAGAGACGCGATTGACCACAGCTCTGAAAGAAAAAGAGACAGAAGTGGCAGACCTTCGACGTGAGGTCACACGACTGAAAAGTATGCTTGTCCGCATTGTGGATGGCCAAGGCGAACAAGCAACGCAGTCTGCTCCAGTTGAAGTCCAAGACTTGTTTCCGCCAACGCCGCCAGCATCCATATGCGATTCGACTCAAGCTGACCTGGAATCATTACTCTCGTCATTGGATGCACCCATGGAGCTGAGCGCCAAGCCATGTGTCTTCGATCAGCTCCTTCATACCGTGTCGGACACTCCATCAGATACTATACAAGAGACGCTAGCTTTGGCAAGTGGTGTTTTTCACATTGATGTCGTCTGTAGATAGGTGATCCTAGTTTGGAACATTCTGTTTAGCCGAACCTTGGTTCACCTATTACCCCTATCACCCCTATCACCCCTATCACGCTGTCATTTAAAGAATCGGCAAGTATTCGGTTGCCCGTTTGGTCAATCAGGACAACCTGATCCTAGGCGGCTTCTCTTGTCTTGTAGTATGTTCCAATGCCGGTTCCCACCGGTTTGGTCAGGGAAGCAACCCCACTCTCACGGTCATCATCACCCTCGCTTTCGGAGAACCCAATCTCTCCTTCACTTTTGTATACATCGCATCTGAAAGAAATGGAACTTGCAGCTAACCTGTTACCCTCGCTGCGTGCATTCCTAGGTATGTGTTGGTCACAGTTGAATATCAACAATTAGCAAGACTGATTCGTGCTTTTTTCAGCGTCTGGTACCGTTTGTTGACTAGGTTATGCAGGTGGCGGTGAGTCAGTGTGTATAGAGTTCAGTCTTCCGCATGATTCTCTTTTGTAAAAATATATATAAAGTGTATACATGTCTTGTGACAAATGTTAAAGTGTGTGTATGTGTTTGAAGACAACTACCTAATTACAAACGTTTCTAACTATAATGTCACCAGTTATGGACTCTAATGTCCACCGCATATCTCCCCCATCGCTACTCGTTTCTTACACAACTCAACTTCCTTTCGCCAATTCGTTCCCAAGGAAATGACTCCCAATTCCAATACCCCTACAATGCACAATGCAGCGCACTGTCCAACCCAAAGCCCAATCAAACCCATACGACCTTTAAATGCCAAGGCGACACCCATTGGTAATGCCAAAACATAATATCCGATCAAGTTACACCATGCCCCAATCTTCTGTCGTCCCATTCCACGCAGCGCCCCTCCACACGCATTGGCTAGACCGTCGGCGATTTGGAAGAGAGCCACGTACGGAAGAACCCGTGCAACCAGGTCCACTACTTCCGGAGACGATGAGAAGAGAAGGGGGAGAGTTGTGCGGGAGAGCATCAAAGTTATGAGCATGATGGTACCCATTGTAGCAGCAAGGAAGGCCGACGCATAAGAGGACATGCGTGCTCGGCGAGCGCAGCCAAGGCCTAAAAGGTTACCAACGCGGTTGCTAGTTGCGATTGATATACCAAAAGGAATCTGTCATCATAACAAATGAGAACATTAATTATCCGTCTTCCGCGTATCTGAACAATGAGATTTCATGTACCCACCGTATTCAAGATCTGATCCGCAGTCATAACCACACTCTGTGCCGCAAGCGGAACGGTTCCCAACCACCCCGCCAGAATAGCCACAATTTCAAAAGCAATCCATTCGCTGCCAACCATCAGTATCCCAGCAATAGCGAGCTTCAAAAATGTTCCCCACTGCTGCAAGGATTTACGAGACCAACCGCCCCAGCCCTCTGATCCGTTAATGAGCACTGCGTACCCGATAAGGAGAATGAGCATTGACCAGTATGTGATGCAGATTGCAATTGCGCCGCCAATGAAGCCGAGTTTGGGTACGAGGAGGTAGAGGTAGAGTAGGTTGAGAGGAGAAGCGATCATTAATACCAATGTAGAAGCATGCATGATGCCTTGAGCTTGCAAGTATTTTCTAATGAAGGAAAACGATGAGGTGCTGAAAAAAATCAGGATAACGAACGGTGTGAACGTACTTGATGGCTTCAAAGTAAATATACCCAGGGGCACCCAGAATCAACCACCTCATAAACAAAGCGCTCATTCTGCTTAATTCTGGTTCCTGTCCCAAAGCCAGTAAAACCGGCTCGGCAAAGAACCAAAGGAGGGCAATCGGGATGTACATCAATGAGAGGATCATGAGTGCTCTTTGTAGGTGAATGCCAACTTCATGTCGATCTTCGGCACCCGTCCATGACTGAGAACAGAGCGTGTCTATGCGAGAGATTGAGCGGATGATTTTAGTTTGACAGGTATAAAGCGGAGGAAAGGCTCAAAAGGATGGATACCTAATGCGGGTGTGGATCCAAGTGCCATCACCCACCCAGTGACCATGACGAACATAAAGGCAAATGCAC